TTTTTTTTTTTTTTTTTTTTTTTTTTTTTTTTACAAGCAAGCAAAAATAATGAGGAAATATGCCTCGTGATTCGAGGTCGATATATATCCTGATTTTACAATTTGGATTTGGATTGGATACAATTTGGATTGATTATAGTAATAGTTTAGCGATCGTGCTTTTGATTGACTATTCTATGAAATTCTTCTCTATATACATTTCTTTCTTTCTTTTCTTTTCTTTTTTTCTTTTTTTTTTTAAGACGCGATTAAGAACCTTAAGCGTTTGGAATTTTATGTGTGACAACGTGCAAGAGATTATATTGGCGAGAAATGTTACGTATGATCCAAAATTTCTATCAGATGCGCGCAAGAGAAAGAAAATGTAAAAAACTTATTTCATATCATAAATAATTTCATTTTAGAAGTATGATTTTAATAAAAGGAAATAATATTTATGTTTAATTTATAATATTTTTTTTCAAAAATTATTTTCAATTGGAATATTATATCGAATTTTAATTTAACGTGGTCTCCGTTTTAGAAAATTTTTCTGATGAACAAAATAGATGATACGTTGGAGAAATATTTGTTAATACGATAGTTTTCATTCATAAAAATTATGTCAAATTTATCTTCGATTATAAATTGCAATCATAATAATATTCTTTTTAAATTTTAGGTGGCTTCTAAAATGACAATATTATTCGTGAGATAACTTAATTTTAATCGATGATTAAATTATGATGGAAATGTTGGATCTGAAGGATAACACGATTGCATGTGTGTACTTACAAACTGTTGTCGGTGACTGCCTTGGTGATCTGACCGAGTTTCTCGCCGACGTTCTGATAACTGAATGAGAACCCAACCAAAAGTCAAAGAAAAGTGTTCTACATGTCTGAAGAGCAGAAGTAGCAGAAAATAAACGAAAAGGGTATGGGAGGGCCGGTAGCCGTCACCTTGCGCGAAATTAAAAAAAATTAACATTGTTTAGAAGTGTGCGAATTATTTGCTAACTTTGGGTCGAACAAAAATTTTAGTTAATTTTAGTTAATTCGACTTAAAATTCCAAAAATATTATCCTATTATATTTTTATTATACTTTATATTTTGGAATTAATTAATTTATTATCTATATCCGTTTATCACAGATAAAATAGTAAATGATTGAGCATTGTAGTTATTGCATGCAGGATGATTTGTACAATTTTACTCAAATATAGTATCTGAATATATATGCATCATATTTGGCTATATATATAGGACATATAATATTCATGGAATATTTTTGAAGGATTGATTTTAGAGGGTAAAATAAATACAAAAATTGATATACAAAATGTAATTTAGTTTTAACTAAAAAACAGATATGGCTTGGTATTGTTGTGTAATTTATCCTGGATAAAAATACATTTCTAAAATTTGAAATCAAGGATCTTAATAGAATATATTTTTTAGAGAATATTTTTTTAGAAAATATTTTTTTTAATTACCTTTAAATTATTGATTACAGAAATTTTGATACCAAATTTATCTATTTACCTATTTAAATTATATCCCATTTTCATTTTATTCAAATTTATTTAAATATAGTTTTGATAAGATACCAGAAAAATTTTATGGTGAAAAATTCGAATACCAAATTTTGGACACCCAATAATTCTGTCTATCCGCACACTTCTAAATTGTAAGTTTTTATATAAATGTACAAAAAAAGGTGAGTATTGTGCATGCGTACCGTTTTTCGCGGCTTAAAACGCGATATCTGTACAATGGAACGTTTAAAAAAACATAATTTACAATGCCGAAAATAAAAAGAGATTTGAAGATTCTTAATGAACGTCTACTTACATTGCGCAAAAATTGAGAATGTTTTGTTACAAAGAGACAAATAATCATATTTTCTGATAATAATACAATTACAGCAACCTCGATATCTCTATATAATGGCAACAAGCTTTTATAGCTCTAGCTTGAACCGCACAATTGTTCGCGTGTGGCATTCGTAACTGTATTTGGAGTCTCGGGCATTTCAACAGCATGTTATGAAAACGAGCTTGTTCAATAGAAAATTCTGCATATAATTGTATAATTAGTTCTTTATGTTATATTTTCGTAGTTTAGTCTTAATTAATTCTGATTTTCTGTGTATATAATTAAGTAATTAACTCTTTGCAATGTAAATATTTTCCTGAACTATTCATATTAAGATTTTAATTTGTTTTTATTATTAATTATTCAAAGTTTGTTGTTAATTATTCAACAGACTTTTATTGATGCTCGATCATGTATGATTAAATATTTCTTTTGATATATCATACAAAAATATAAAAATATAAATACAAAAATATTATATAATATATATAAAGTATTATATAATATTTTATATTTATAAATTCCAAAATTTCTTAATTAAATAAATTATATATCGATATTCAAGTAATAAATTAACTATTTTTAGATTGCATTAAATAATTCCAAATTCATATTAACGAATACGATAAATAATACGATATAAATAAGATATCACGGGAACGATTAAAAAATTAAATCGTTCATGCTGTTGAAAACCCTGCGCATAAGAGCGCTAGCAAAACTCAGCTAAGACTCCATTCGTGCAAGATGATGGGTGAAAAATATATAGAAAAGTGCGTGCTTTGTATGTGCTTTGAATAAAAACGTACACTTGACTCTCCTTAACGTTTTTCAACCCTTGATTCATATCATCAGTGATCTCCTTCCAAACGCTGATACCCAGCTTCCTCTTTAAATCTTGAGAGACTCTGATCTTGTTCGCCAGCACATGCCTCAGGGTTTGAATCTCTTCCTCCACCTAGAAAACGTGATTTTTTCAGTGAAATAATTAATCGTTCATGTTTGAATTTTTTTTTTGAAGAGTGATTTTTCGATGATTAAACAAAATTTTTTTAATAAATTATGTTACAATGTTTAAACATTCTTGCAGAATAGAGAACTGATATGGTGTAATATTAATATTAGTTAAAATTGATAAAAGAAAAAGGTAAAAAGAATTTCTAATAGTAAAAATTAAATTTATAAGTTAATATGTTTCTAATGAATTAAAAAAATAATTATTTTATTAAAGTAATTATATGAAAGTATCCAAGTTCTAGATCTTTTCAACCAATTATAATCGTTGATTATTTGATAAATTAAATTTTTAGATTTAGGATTTAAGCTTATATCTTTTCACAAATCTACTTTCACAATTTTCAATACTCCACTTTCCATCTACTTTCGCAAATGAATAATTATTTTGACAGCAAGGATCTTGGATATGTTTAAAATAGAACTATCCTTACAAAGCAAAATAAATATAACATATTTCACGATCAATCTGAATTTCTCTCAAGTCATATTTCACAATTCTAACTGTTCAATATTTTTTACAGGATGAAAAAGCATAATAAGATGTACTTTGGCTAATTCTGCACTCCATTCCGCCTTTTGACGATTCTGTTCTTCCAAAGAAAGTCCTTGCAATTCATTCACCACGTTATCTGATGTTGGCGAAATGTAACCAGCTGAATGGAGACTGGCGTCTTCTCCTGGAAAAAAGTCAATGATTGAAAATTATTTTAAAATTAAAATAACTCGAAATCTTGGTCTTTAAAATATCTTTTCGCTTATCTTAATATGATTTTCGGTTCCCGAAATATCATCGTGTAAAGAAAAGGTAATTTTTAATCATTTATTGATTAATCCTTAAAATTAAGTAAAATTTACATAATATATTTTCTAAATATTAATTGAATATTTCAACATATTTCAGCTACATAAAAATCAGCAGTTTAATTATTAATGTTTTTTGAATTTATCAACAAATTTTTAATTTTAATAAAGCAAAATTAAATTTTTGTATTGAATTGCTTAAGAAATCTTGTTTTATTTGCTTGAAAACTTTATTTTATTTTAAAAATTTCATTTTTCATTAATAATTAATAATTTTTATAAACCGCTATTAATAATTTAATATTATTTTATTCTATATTCGTTTTTAAAGTACAAATTGCAATTTGAATGCAGTAAAGAATTAAATTTCCTGTGTTCTAATTTAACATATTTTAAAAAAGAAAAAAAAATATTTTTCTCTCTTTCTAAAATTTCTAAATAATTCAAAAACGTGAAATATACAATTTTGTGCAATTATAATTTTAGATTCTGACTACCAATTTGATATATTTTCCATCACATATGTTCCATATCATTTCCTCTTTATTTATGAATATAATCGAGTAATGTCTCATTTAAAATTTCATCTTTCAACGCTAAATGCATCGTTGTAAAATTTGAATGTCTCCTACAATTTTAGAACACGTTTTATGAATGCGTAATGTGAATTTACTCTGCATAAAATTAGGACGATAAAAATTTTAAAAACTATAAAATCATCTAAAATGATGTTCATAATAATATCAAAATGAAAATAAATTGAAAATCGTAAAGTAGAGGAAATTAATTTACTGTAATATGAAATGCATTACAGTTACAATAAATTTTCAAGCATCAAAAATTAAAAGCTTCAAGAGCGATACGAATATGCTCAGATTAACAATTTCAATAAAACACCCACTATCGCAATCGAAAGACAGATCATTGTCATTTTATCGATCATATTACATCTACTTATAACCGATCGAATCACGGATGCTGGTATCGTTTTACACGAAGTATTGCTCTATATCTTTACAATTGCCTTTTCATAAATTTTATCATTTTTTTTTTCAGAAAAATTTTTACGTTTTTTAAAATACAATTTATATAATTATAACAAATTATATAATACAAAATTTGTATTATATTCTGAAAATTGAAAAAAGAATCCTTTCAATTTTAAGAAACATGTGCTAATAATAATCCTCGCGTAAGTTCTTCCGCTTTGCGTGAACTTAATAATAAGTATAAATTATTTCCTATCACACCAAATTAAAAATATTTAATTAACTAAATCTGA